GTAAGGCAAAGGACAGTCAATTGGAGAAAATGGGAAAGGATTTTCACCAATTCCACATCAGAAAAAGGGATAATATCCAAAATATATTTTTAAAAAACTCAAGAAACTAAATATTGGCAAACCAAATAATCAAATTAAGAATATGGCATATAGTTCTAAGCAAGGAATTTTTAACAGAAGACTCTCAAGTGTCTGAGAAGCACTTAAAGAAATATTCAAGACTTTTAGCCATCAGGGAAACGCAAATCAAAAATAATTTGAGATTCCATCTTACACCTCTTTGAATGGCTAAGATAAAAAACACAAATAACTGTTCACACTGGAAAGGATGTAAAGGGGCAGGAACACGCTATTGCTGGCGTGAAACATTGCTGCTGGGAGTTCAATGTCTCAAGACCAAGCCACACCACTCTTGGCAAACACCCAAAGGATGTTTGTCCTACCACAAAAAATTATCTCTAAAGACATAGAACACATAGAACCCACTTAATGCTTGTAGAGGCACATAATTATCTGTCCTAAAAAGCTTTGGCTGATGGCTACAAATCTTGAGTCTCCATTTCCTTCTACCGTGTTTTTCTAACAACCTCCATCCATACACTATGTCCCTCTTCACACTTATCACTCTCTCAACATCTTTTCTTAATAGAATAAATAACTTGCCAAGTTCTTGAAGGCAGGAGAAATTTGTGAGTAATTTCATATCCAATGTCTGGCAAAAACTCTTAATTTAACAAATTTGGGAATAAATATTAAATAAGTGAACACAATATGGATACATTGTTAATAAATCACTGGCAGGGAAACAATATATGAATTACTTTTTCTTTTATCTTACAGTTCACAATATAATTGCAGTATTTTAATTCATTCACATTCTCACTTGTAGGCCTGCTGGTTTGGAAAAACAAAACACAAGTGCTATGATTTGCTCCTGCATTTCTTTATTTTTCGTTTATTTTCTGTTCTTCACATCTCAGGTGAGAAAACAGCTCTCAACTACTAGAAAGTGTTCTATTTATCATTCCCAGAAATAATAACACTGGAAACAATACCTCCCTTGCTTCTTACTACTAGTTTTTTTTGTTTGTTTTTTTTATTTCCAATAGGTGCCCTTTCCCAGCGCTTGCCTGTTTTCTTTATAAGAGGTAGGGTTGAATCGTGTTCACTGAAAGTCAAGAGCAGCGCAAGTTACAATGACCAAGACATTTTAGAGAATACATTTTCCCTCCATGGCTGATTGAGAATCCGCAGAAGGGATCGTTAAGGGACAGAGGAAGTACATGGCAGGTGGACCCAAAGAGGGAGAACTAGAATGAGTCCTGTAGATTTGTCAAGCAATGATGGTAAGTAAACAACCACAATTGTTGTGATCAACAGGTTGAGAACCACTGCTCTAAACCACCTACATAATATTTCCACCAATGTATTTGAAAGGGTCTTGATTTATGACTTTCTTGCTTCTATTACTGTAAATTCTTCACAAAGTGTTAAAATGGAACACGGAAATCTATATTTCTAGGTCAATGGTCTCTGATGTTTGCCTCCAGAATAAATTATCTTCTACCCATTTTGAGGTTTTGTTTGTGTTTTGTAACAAGAGTCTTATGCTTAGAAAGTTGCTAAGAACACCCCAGTTTAGTAATCTCCTGGAACGTTCTAGCTGAACCATTAATTACTGTGATATGTGGATTTGGAGGCTAAAAGGAGTCTGATGCAAATAAAATAAGCAAAATCTGATCTTGTCAAATTTTTCAGTGTATTTTAAGTTCCACCCATGATTCAAAGGCTCTTGCTGTCAAAGGCAGATGAATCTCATCATCATTTATCAGTTTATATGAGTTAAGTTTAATGAAATGACATCAACCCAGCAGGCAAGTTTCATGCTTTCCTTGTACCTGGGAAACTTAGGGAGGATTTCTGTTGACTGTATAAGCCTTAATGTTACCATAGCCATGCTCAGGCCTTGCCTATGCTCTCTGTTCCTATGATATTCCCTGAAAGAATTATATTTGTAGAAATACAGTTTACAGTGTATGGTAATAGGTAGGTAGTTCATTACAGAGTAGAGATACACACTCCTGAGGAGTGGATAATGACTAAAGAAAATCCGTACCAACCTGCACTTTTAGTGAGGCTTCCTCCTACTTAAGTTTCTTGAGGGAGGGATTTTTTTTACTGCCCAGATGATTGGCAGACCCATTTGGATTATTTTTAAGGAACTGTGCATGCCTTATTGCTCAGCAAAATAACTTTGGTGGAATAGGATCATTTTAGTCCTTTGGACGGTTCACATCACATCCTTTTTTACTAGTAATAAGAATTCTGAATTTCTACTCCTGGCTTTACAAGTTGCTGAAAATGAAGGAGGGGCCAATCTTAATTAACCTTCAAGCCTTATAAATTATAACCAGCTATCTACCAACAAACCCTGTGTCCTTATATCCACAGATAGGCGTAGTCTTCGCCCTTGGTTGAGGAAAATTCTTTGTGGCACAGATATGTTTGCCTGATAAACTTCTAATTTTGAATTCTGCCTCTATCTTTAAAATTCTTGCAGATTCTATGGGTCTATTGCCATTATTAAGACCCAGGTCTCAAACAAAACAAAGCCCACTCATTTTTTTAAGGTAAGGAGGTTGCATATCTTAATATACTTCACATGATTACTTTTACATAAAAATAAAACTATTAAATTTCAAGTAATTAAAAAGTAAAGTAAGTCTCATTCAGAGTACAAAAACAACATCTAAACTTCAAAAGTCCAAATTTAGTACATGTAAAGAGAAGCTTTTTCCTTTGAGAGAAGCCTTCCCGCCAGCCTGGTTCTAGAGCCGCATCAGTCCCAAATAAACACACAGGAGGCTATATTAATTATGAAGCTGTTGGCCTTTCTTGTTTCTTACTGGCTAGCTCTGACCTAAGTATTTACCCCATAATTGTTAATCTAAGTATTTCTCTTACCGGAGAACTTTCCAGGCTTCCTACCCCATGACGTTACATCTTGACTCTCTGTGTTTCTCCTTCCCAGAATCCTCCTGGACTCCTAGTCCCACCTATCTAGATTCCTATTGGCCCAACAGTGCTTTATTGAAAAATGCACAGGATTTCCCCCCAACAAGTACAGAATTGATTAGGCACTTAGGAAACATAATTATGACCATTAGTTATGTTTTTGTTTGTTTTAATTTTCTTTTTTTCCTTTATTTAACTTAAATTAGAAACAAGCTTGTTTTACATATCAATCCCAGTACCCTCTCCCGCCCCTCCTCCTCAGCCACCCACTAACCCCCTATCCCATCCCCTTTCTGCTCCCCAGATAGGGTGAGGCCTTCCATGGGGGATACTCAAAGTTTGTCATATCATTTGAGGCAGGGCCTAGAACATCCCCAGTGTTTCTAGGCTGAGAGAGTATCCCTCTACTTGGAGTAGGCTGACAAATGGCGTTCCTGTATTAGGGATAAATGCGGATCCACTACCAGAGGCCCCATAGATTAACCAGATCTCCAAACAGACATCCACAATCAGGGGATGTTTATCACTCCTATGCTAGTTTCCCAGCTATCAGTATGGGTTGCATGAGCTCCCACTTGTTCAGGTCAGCTGTTTCTGTGGGTTTCTCCAGCCTGGTATTGACCCCTTTGCTCATCACTCCTCCCTCTCTGCAACTGGATTCCAGAGTTCAGCTCAGTATTTAGCTGTCTCTTTTGACTTCTGCTTCCATCAGCCACTAGATGAAGTCTCTAGAATGGCATATAAGATAGTCATCAACCTCTGATTCAGGGAAGGATATTTAAAGTACTCTTTCCACTGTTAGTTAGATTATAAGTTGGGGTCATCCTTGTAGATCTCTGGACATTTCCCTGGTGCCAGATTTCTCTTTAAACCTATAATGGTTTCCTCTATTATGGTATCTCATTTCTTGCTCTCCAGTATTCTTCTATGGACTCAAACTTCCTGCTCCCTCATGTCCCCCTCTCCCCTCTTCTCCTCATCACTTTCTCCTACCCCCCCATGCTCCTAATTATCTCAAGGGATCTTGTCCCTTTCCCCTTCTCCAGGAGACCAAGGCACGGAGAGAGTGGACAGCCTTGTATTGTTCCTGATTTTGGAAGAATTGTGTTGTGTTTCTCTCCATATGTTTCATGTTGGCTGTTGGTTTGCTATATATTGCTTTTATTATGCTTAGGCATGTTCCTGTTATCCCTGATGTTTCCAAGACCTTTATCATGAAGGTTTGTTGGATTTTGTCACAGACTTCAGCATCTAGTGAAATGATCATGTAATTTTTCATTTTCAGTTTGTTTATATGGTGGGTTAAATTGATGGATTTTCCTATGTTGAACCATACCTGCATACCCAGGATAAAGCCTACCTGATCATGGTTGATGATTTTTCTGATGTGTTCTTAGATTTTATTTGTCAGTATTATACTGAGTATTTTTGCATCAAAGTTTATGAGGGATATTGGTCTGAAGTTCTCTTTCTTAGTTGTGTCTTCGTGTGACTTGGGTACCAAGTTTATCGAATCCTTGTAAAATGAGTTTGGCAATGACCCTTCTGCTTCTATTGTGTGGAATACTTTGAGAAGACTTGGTATTAGCTATACTTTCTGGTAGAATTCTGCACTGAAACCATCTGACCCCGGGCTTTTTTTGGGGGGGTTGGGGGACTTTTGATGATTGCTTCTATTTTGTTAGGGGTTTAGGTCTATTTAAATTGCTTATCTGTTCTTGATTTAATTATAGTAAGTGATACCTATCCCGAAAATTGTCTATTTACTTTAAGTTACTGAATTGTGTGAAATGCAGGTTTTCAAATGTGATCCAATGATTCTTTGCATATCCTTAGTGTCAGTTTTTATGGCCCCTTTTTCATTTCTGATTTTGTTAATTATACAGGACACATCTCCTCATTGGTCAAACTTGCCTCTAAATTCCTTCAGTAGTTTTTCATTAGTTCCTCCACAATCAAAAGTTCTTACCTTTTTTATTTCTTGGATGATTTCAGATGTTCTCTCTCCATTTGTTGCAGTATTGAGTAAAGTCTTCCTCAACAGTTTAACTTTTCCCAGTATTACTTTATGTTACCAAGTCCAAGATAAGGACATTCTGGAGGAATAAGAACATTTGCTTATTTATATTTATTTATTTTGTTTGTATTAATGTTTTTCAAACAAGCTGACCCTGTGTAGCCCAAGATGGCCTATATTCCTCCTGTGTGTTAGGATTACTGGCCTGTAGACTACACTCAGCAACATTTGACAAAGAGGTAGTTTTGCTAAATACTAATTAGATACTTACTAGCTTTCACTTCCAAAAATGTGATATTAGTAAGCCTTTCATTAATATAAAATCTATGTAACTTGGAAAACCCAATGAGCACAATTACACATGTATCATATCTTAGGAAATGGCTTCAGAAGAGATTCAACATAAACATAAGCAATGATGATTTTATACATTTAAGACTCTTGGAAATCAGTGGATAAAGACCAGTGAGCATCAGAAAGCTGCTTCAATGTTTGACATATGAATCAACCAGAAGGAAATAAATATTCAAACATCATAATAAAACTATTAATTTTAAGCTAATTAAAAATTGAAATAAAATATTTATAATTATTATTTTGCACAAATGGTAAATGACATACTATGTCTTACAGGGCTTCAAACGCTATTTTATGCAATTATTTGTTTATTTTATGTAACATAATATATAATATTTATTCTTGTGTGTGCACACATGTGTATGTGCGTTGAAGTCAGAGACTGACACTTGGTGACTTACTCTATTGCTTTTTAAATTACTTTTTTAAGATCCTGGTCTCAATTCAGCTAGACTATCAGACTGGCAAGTCCCAGAAAACCTCCCATCTCTGTGCCACAGCACTTGGGATACAGGCAAGTGCCATTTCATTCAGCATTTTATGTGGATGCTGGAGACCCACTTAAGTCCTCATGCTGAATCAGCAGACTCTTTAATTATTGAGCCATCTCCACAAGCCCTAGAAATCTTCTAAATGCAGAAAATGTGTAAGATGAAGAAAAATCATTGAAATTATTACATTCTTACTGTTAACATAAAAACTGGCATAAAACAGCCTTGATATTATATTTAAGGTAAATCCTGGCACACGCTTTTCTGCTTTGTCAAATATTGATGAGAGTTTTAACATGTAATAGCTAAGATTGTTTTTAGAACACACATGAAAATAGCATTCTTAATATTCTTGGCATCATCCAAGTGATAAATAATGGTACTGAAAAATGAAATTGTATGTATACTGAGACATGCCCTTAGGACATAGAGCTTCTTCATCAGAACTAAGTGTGGCAACAAAGTACCATCTCCCTGTGCAGTAGTGTCTCTGGTATATTTCATAAACTCAAGGTGCAAGTTACATTTTCTCCCCTGAATACAAAAAAAATCAAATATGTGATGTAAACAGTACAGATTTGAAAACAAAACTACAAAGCATGCAATGGAGGTGAATTCAATAGCAACAAATTAATCATTTGCCTTTTAATATTTCTTTTCAAAAATAAGTTGCTTTCTTTTGTGTCTCATTCATTTTTCAGTAAAAATATTAATGCTATAGCCAACCTAAGCAATATCTAGATTCTGAAAATTGATACGCAAAAGAAGGGTATTTAAATCTTTCAAGGACCCTGGAACCCAGTGTTGTTCTCCCTGGTTCACTTTACAGTAATACAAGCTCTAGTGTAGAAATGGCAGAAGCTATTTTGAATCTGGGTGTATCTTTTTTAGAAAGAAATTTTCTGCTTGTTCAAACAGGCTTCCTCTGGCCATTTGGAGATAAATGTGTACACAGGTGAGTGGGTGAGTAGGCATAGCTCCTCATATGGCTACAACATCTGTTCAAACAACACATTTCCCATTTCCAGTGCTCAAGTCACACTCTCTAATTGTGTTACAGATGTTGCAAGATTTTAGTAACACTTTCCTGCTAACTTCCTTTGAAAGTATGACTGCATGGTACACTGCTGCACTGAATTTTTCAGATTTGCTTTGGCTACAAGGCAGAGTTGAGCTGGGTGTGGTATTGCAAGCGTCTAATCCTAGCACTCGGGCTGCTAAATCAGCAGGATTGCCTTGAGTTTGAAGCTAGCATAAACTATATAATGAGATCCTGAAAACAAAAAACATAATTAGAGATATATCTGTTTCTTTATATTTTATTTTTATGGAGAAATAAATTCCATTTTCAGCTGGATAACATCAACTATCATATATTCTTCAATGAACTGATTGACATTAGTCTACTCAAGCAAACTAACGTATTAAATTTAAATATATGAATATGTATACAATTGTTCTCTTTTCCTATTATTTACCACGCATCAGGTTTATTCAAATTACCTTTTAGCCTATACAGTTTTAAAAGTAAGATAATACTATGCCTCAAAAGTTGAATAGTATAAATGCGTCATAAATGTAACATTTTAATCGACTTGGGAATTTTGCATACATTAGTCAAAATGCATTGCTCAGGCAGCCCAATGCATCTGGAATACATTTCCTCACAACAATTGTTGTTCTAATTTAGAGGCTTAATGCCTGTTAGACTTTGATCTCAATCCTGGAAGATAGTAAAAATCATGGGGCCAGTGCAATGAGGTAACTAGGCAAGATGCTGGCATGCTAGAAAGGGAGAACTTGAAGAGGGTTCAGTGCATAAAATAGTACAGTTCCAAGAGAAAGAAGAGGTGGGAGGATAGAGACAGATGAGAAGCAATTCCAGAAAACAGCATGAGGACAAGAATGAATAGAAACCACAGGAAACTACTCTGCTCATGGGAGGAAATGAACATTCAAAGATAGAAGGTATAGAATTCAGCTGCCGAGTGTAAGGAAAGGGATAGAGAAAAGCACACATGATAAACATTGCAGTTTTCTAGAGAACTGAGCCATAATCCACCACAGGATGCCAAGCCAAGCCTGAATAGGACAGAAGCCTTCTCACTTTGCTCTGGCAAAAGAGATACAGAAAGTGATGAGATACTGTAACATTTAATATTCAGGGTACCCAGGGCTTATTTTATTATCCCAGTGCTACCACCGCACATCCAACACAACAGTGAAAGTTTCAGTCTTCAGGCAGGTGAGTCAGCAGGGAAACTGGTATAATTACTCACACCTCTTCAATGAATGTTCCATGGCTGTAAGACAGCAGCTCATAGTTAGTCATGGTGATAATGAAGCAATAGGCAAAAGGAAAACTATCAGAATTTTCTCATTTCTTTCATTTTTGAATGTTTTCTGTTAAATACTAGCCCATTCCATTTACTTAGCAGAGTTCAGAGACTCCAGGAAATAGAATTCATTTCTGACACTGGTTGGGTAGAGCTGGAGTGAACTGCATGGTTTTATTTTTTTCCAAAGGTCTGCTTTGTCACACCAAAGGCGACAGGGAAGTTTTCTTTTCTTACCTTTTGAAGAACAGAAAGTGGTAGATGGAGAAACTCTAGAAAAGTACGACTTTGAAGGTCCTCAGTATGAAAGTCCTCTGTTTATGTCCCACCTCTCACTCTCCACAACCTCGTATTAACGTCATCTTACTCAGAAGCTGTCAAAGAATTAATCAAATGCTTAGGTGAAATTCACAAGACCCAATCACCTCTCAGTTGCCCCACAGCTCAAGACCATTCCTTCAGAGCAGGAACCTTTATAGATCTTCATATCCTATATGTTGTAGTACCTAAATAATCAACACTGTGCATTTCATTCAGATGTACTGTATTTTTTTTCTTCATGGGAAAAAAAGCATAGCTTTCTCTTTTAAAATACATTGAAATCAGCCACCTCTCCCATGCTTTTCTTCCTGTGACGTTTAGTCAACATCTGTCTTGCTCCACTTTTTCTATTGTTGGTAATGTAGAGTGGTTGAAATCAGGTGGTTTATAAAGGATAAAGATACTTTCAAGTCGTTGTTAGAAGGCCAGGAAGCCGAGAATTGAGTGGCTGACTCTAAGTGAAGGCTTGGGGTGTGTCATTACACCTCAGAATAAGAGAAGCAGACATGATACAGAAGCAAACTATGTAACTTGGAAGTATCATCACTTTGTTAACAATTTATTCTCAAAGTTGTTCATCTAAACCTTGGTAATAAGCTCAGCCTTGCCATAAAGAGATTAATCCACCTTAATAACATAAACATTTTCTAAGAGCCTTACCTGCAGACACTGCCACAGGAGTAACTAAATTTCAGTAGTTAGAGAGGAAACAAACTGAATTCACTAAATAGCAATGCTTAAACTAGAATTCTTTCCAAAGATTTTTCTGTCACTTAGGGCTATAAATTTCACTCTGAAGACTGATTTTAGTGCATCCCAGAGAGAGAGAGAGAGAGAGAGAGAGAGAGAGAGAGAGAGAGAGAGAGAGAGAGAGAGAGAGAGTGGTGTGGTATATAGGTGCGGTGTCTTTAATTTCATTTAGTTCCAGAACATTTTTTAAAATATCTTTCTTGATTTCTTTTCTCTGACTCATTGATCCCTCTGGAAAGACTTGTTTAATCTCCACAAGTTTGTGTTCTTACCATAGCCTGGTTTGCTCTCAGTTTTAACACTTTTATGGTCAGATAAGACAAACTGAGCAATTTATATTTTTATTCTGAATTTACTCACATTAACTTTGTATCCCAGGGTATGCTCTATTTTAGAAAATGCTGCTTAGGAGTACATGCATAGTGTTTGAGTGGATTATTCTGCAGATATATGTTATGTCCATTTGATGTAAGGTGTCATATAATTCTAATGTTCCCATACTTTCATCCAAATCACCTGTCTATTAAAAAACTGAGTGTTGAAATCTACTATTATTGGATTAAACCATTCACACAGGTTTAATTTTTCACAGTGACAAAAAAAGGAAAAACACAAGTATCTATATCCATTTTAGCTTGTTATGAAGATAATAAATTGGTGATTGATTTGGCCCAAGGTCTTTCTCTATTTAATTATTTATTTTTAATTTCTTTTTTATTTTAGAAGCACTGTTACTTACATATCAATTCCCCCATTCCCTCACCTTCCCATCCTCTGATGCTTCCCAATGATCCCCCCCAACCAACCCTCCACCCACTCCCCAAGGATAGTGAGTCACTCCACAGAGACAATCAAAGTCCATGATAACATTTGGGGGAGGGCCTAGGCCCTATTTCTTGTATCTGGACTGCAATAGTATCCCTACATAGGGAAATGGCTCCCAAAGTACATTTGTGCTCTAGGGATAAACACTGCCTCCACTGTTGGAGGTCCCATAGACTGCCTTGGCCTCCTTCCTGGCACCCACATTCAGAGGGCTGCTGGTTCCCCAGCTTTACGACTAGGGTCTCCTTGCTCTCACTAGGTAAGGTCCACTATTTCTGTGGGTTTCTCCATCACCATCTTGGCTCCTTTGTTCATCCCTCCTCCCTCTCTGCAACTGGATTCCATGAGTATGGCTGAGTGTTTAGCTGTGGATACCTGTTTCTGCTTGGATCAACTACTAGATGAAGGCAGGAGGTGGGAAGGGTAGATGGGGAGAAGGGGAGGGGTTTTGAGAACAGGAGAACTAAGACATGAGAGGAATAGAGGAGGGGAAAAAAGGGGATGCCTTGATAGAGGGAGCCAGTATAGGTTTGGAGAGAGGTCTGGCACAGGGGCAAATTAGGGGATTCACAGGGATCACCCATCTAAGAATCTAGACAGTGGTGGAGAGGTTGCCTTTGATGCCCTTCCCCTATAATGAGAATGATGACTACGTTGGTTGCCATTTCTAGAATCTCAGGTGTTGAAGACTCACTAGAGGAAATACATTCATCATCCAAAGAAAATCTCAAGTCCAACAAATGCCTAACAAAATATCTGGGAAATATGGGGAACCATGAAAGGGTCAAACCTAAGAATAATAGTTATAGAAGAAGGTGAAGAAATACAGCTCAAAGGTACAGAAAACATACCCAACACAATAATAGAAGAAAAATTCCCCAACCTAAAGGATATGCCTATGAAAATACAAGGAGCTTACAAAATACCAAATAGACTGGACCACAAAAAGAAGTCCCCTCACCACATAATAATCAAAACACCAAACTTACAGAATAAAGAAAAAATATTAAGAACAGCAAAAGAAAAAGGACAAGTAATGTATAAAGGCAGACCTATCCAATTACACCCAACTTCTCAATGGAAACTGTGAAAGCCAGAAGGTCCTGGATAAATGTTCTGCAAATGCTAAGCGAACCACCTACAGCAAATCCAAAACAAACAAGAATGAGCAATCAATGATCAGTAGATATGACCAGCTGACAATTTTGATCCATTCATTTACAGTTTTTCATTTTATAGCACCTTCCTATGTATAACCCAGCCTTTTGCGCACTTTGATGCACATGCCTTGAGTGTTAAAAGTCAATAACTCTTTTACTTCTCAAATTCAAATATCTCACTCTGACTAAAGCAGTCTGTTCCCCTAGCCTATGTTCTTAACCTTACCTTACAATATTTTCCTCATAATTTGCCTATAACTATACAGGTCTGTCAAGTTCTGGGCATAGTGATAGATTCCTTATCCATCCAGAGGAAGACTATTGAAATATCATAGCCTTTAACATGAAAGTTTCTTTTAGTTTTTCACAGTCAGCTCTGTTCAGTATTCTCTTCTGTTTTGTGATTATTGTTTGATGCTCAGTGACCAGTGAGCAGTTCTACATATATTCCATCAAAGTGACATCTACTCTGCCCTGTTGTTTCCATTCTATAGGTGCCTGCTAAAGCACACACCTACAGCCTACAGGTATTATTTTGCTACTTCCAGGGACAATGCTATCTATTACTCTCAGTGGTTGAGACAGAACATATAAACAAATAAATAATGTAGAAATTGAATATCATTACTAATTCCCTGTAGCTATATCTTCCTCACATAATTATGTTGTTTGTTTGAAGAGTCATGATAATTTTCCAATTTCAAATGCCTTTGGGCTACATTCAAATATATCTGTAGAAACTTGAAATCTAAGAATTATTCCACTTAGGAAAAACAAACAAACAGCTACCATTCTTGAACCTCAAGGCTTGAAACCATTACTGCAAGTAATTTATAGTTGGCTGTAAAATCCATATAATCTAACCATAATTACATTTCAGTAATGCTGTCAACATCTGTCAAGTAAGCTAAATGCTAACAGATCTGTGGTTACTCATTGTTAATTTGATGTTGCATTATTTAAGGAGACTCAAGATACTCATGAATGATAAAGGTGCCAGAGATAAGATATATTATCTTTCCAAATGGATGTTCATGTCAATGATAGCTTAACCTGGACCAGATGTCTGGAGACTATTATAATGACAAAACAGTCAGTTTCCATGACAGCCCTGTCACTGATCCTTATATAGGGTCTGTGATACAAATATAATGTTAATTCTGCTTAAGACCAGCACTATCAGTGGTGAACCATATTTTTGTCTCATCTCATATATTTGTTTTATGATTTTCAGTAACAATGAGTCTGCTAGTAATGCTATTACTCTGCATTAAGACCATAAGGTCATTAGAATCTGAGAATTAAAATGCAGCATTAGGTTCCGTAAACTTTTGGTTGGAATCCTTCAAATTGAGATGAGTATAGAAAGACTACTGTAATCTTTTAGGAACCTGTCTTTGAATTCTGGCCAGTCAAGGAGAAGTCATTCAATAAAATGGTACATTTCTCTCCATACTGTTTACTATTTAATAATTTTTAATTTTTTATCTATCTATATGTGTGTGTGTGTGTGTGTGTGTGTGTGTGTAAGCAAAACCACAGCACTAATGTGGAAGTCAAAAGATAGTTCTCAAAGCTCACTTTTGTTCTTGTGTTTGGTGGGATCTGGAGATTGAACTCAGGTCATCAACACTATGAACTGACCCCTCTACTCACTGAGCCATCACACTAACTCCAGTCTACACAGTATTAACATTGATTGCTTGGCATCTAGGTCAGCAGTGAAATCTGGAATTTGCATTTACTTGTAAGTATTAATCTATTTAAAGTCATTCTGTATCTCATTTGGGAGTTAACTGCTAGAGTAGAAAACATAACCTTGAACGGTGTACATAAGGATTGATAGTGTATGTGTTTTTCCTCTGCCTCTATGTAAAACAGGTCATTTAGAGTTAAGACAATAAATTAACTTCCAAGTTCCATGACTTGTAGTTCACCCTAATATGATCCAGTTGCCCTGATTATTTCTTTAATGTGTAGCTGAATTCCACAGCTTAGAATAACCAGACTTGGCCTTACTTCAATAACCTCACCTAATTATTTATTTAGCAATTTTCAAAGATCAAAATACCAAATCTTTCTTAGCATTTGTTTTTCTGTTCAAAAAAATTAGATAAACATTTCTAGATGAAGAGAAAAAAGGAAAACAAAGTAAAGTACCATAATACACATCCAGCTATCAGTACCTCTGGTAAGTAATCCTCTTCTACGCGTTTCAGCTACCTGACATGGAAATAGCACCAAGGTGTTTGTTCTCACAGAGTCTGCAGGCTGAAAGAGAAGATTGCAATAATAAGCCTACAAAAGCCAAAGTAGCTCATTTATCTTCAACACTCCCATTGGCAGAAAACGTGCCTGAAAACCTCACTAAAAGGAAAATGTGCAGGTCTTCATGTACAACAATCTGAGGGGAATGCAGAAACCAGAACAGCTGAAATTTAAGAGAATGTGAGCGATCAGCATCAGGAAGAGCACTAGACCTTCATGAATCCAGACCCAGAATTACTTCTCAGAATGGAGCATCTTCCTTTGTGTCTGCTTCAGACTTATCAAAGGTACTAGAAACAAGTGTTTCCTGTTGCTATTGTCATTGATACTCCTTCGGACAAAATCTGGTTTATTTAGCTTTCCATTTTCTCTTCCTTTTTACTAGACCATGCATGTTTGTAAGACTTAACTTGGTATTTTTTTATAAGAAAACAAAATATAAGATAACAAGATTCTTTTTTATTATTTTTATTAGAATTTTTTTAATTTTAAATACCTCGTTTTACATGTCAATCCCAGTTCCCTCTCCCTCCCCTCCTCCCGCGCCTCCCCCCATCCCCCCATCCTCCCACCCTATTGCCAATTTCTTCAGCATAGGGGATATCTAGAGTCTATCATTTCATTCAGGGTAGGGTCCAGGCACTTCCCTAAGAGTCCAGACAGAGAGAGCAACCCTCTTTGTGTTATGGACACAAGATGACTGTTAGTATTCCAGGGATAAACACTGATCCACTGCTCAGGACCCCATAGGTAGCCCAGGCCTCCTCATTGACTCTCACATTCAGGGGGTCTGGATCGGTCCCATGCTGGCCTCCCAGCTATCAGTCTGGGGTCGAAGAGCTCTCCCCTGTTCAGATCAGCTGTCTCTGCTGGTTTTGCCAGCCCATTCTTTGCCAATTTGCTCTTCGCTCCTCTCTCTCTGTCGCTGGTTTCCTTGGGTTCTGTTCAGTATTTAACTGTGGGTGTTTGCCTCTGCTTCCATCAGTCACTGGATGAAGGTTCCAGGATAGTTATAGACATCAAGTTCACTATCAGGAATGGGAATTCGAGGTAGTATCTACACTATTGCTTAGCTTGCCAATTGGTGTCATCCGTTTAGATCACTAGAGGTCACAATGGTGCCTGATCTGTCTTCTAACCTATGATTCCCTTTTCCCCCTATCCTACCTCCCCCAGTTGACCTTCCTATTCCTCCATGTCCTACTCTCTCTTCCACTTCTCCCCCTCTCTATTTCCCAGGTCCCCCTCCCCCCCCACCCCTCGCCGTGTTCCCCATCTGTTCAGAGGATCTTGCCTCATTTCTCTTCTCTTGGGTACCATGTATAACTTTTAGGTTCTTTCCTGTTTCCCAGAATCTCTGTCAGTGGAAGTGCAGACTGGCACTCTCCTTATCCATGTTTAAAATCCATATATGAGTGAGTACATACCATGTTTGTCTTCTGTTCCCAGGTTCTACCTTTTTCCTGGAGAAGTAAGGGGATGTGTTTCTCACATATTCTCTAAGACCCAATACAACTGTTTTTCAATTTAAACCCAAAACTTAAAATATATTCAAATATAAATATGTGCCTCAGAATATTGCAGCAACTCACTTGTAGGTCTGAAGAAAAGTTGCAAGTTACAAAACTGTACTTCTTATGCAATTTTGTTTGCTTGTGTATTTGTTCATTTATTTTCCATGCTGACCACAGTTTCTCCTCCCTCCTATCCTCCCAGTCCCTCTCCCTCAGCTCCCATTTACTTGCCCCCACTCCTTCTCCATTTCTATTTAGAAAAGGGCAAGCTTCCCATTGATTTCAACAAACATTGTACAGCAAGTTGTAGTAAGACTAAGCACCTCACTTGTATTAAGACAGAGCAAGGAATGGATTCCAAAAGCCAGCAAAAGAATCAGAGATAACCCCTGCTCCCACTGCTAGGAGTTCCACAAAAAGAACAAGTTACACATGTGCAGAGGGCCTAGTTCAGTCTCATGCATGCTCTCTGGTTGGTGGTTCAGTCTCTGTGAGCTCCTTTGAACCCAAGTTGGTTGATTCTGTGGGTTTTCTTGATGTCCTTGAACCCTGTAGCTTCTACAATCCTTCTTCCCTCTCTTCAGCAGGATTCCCAGAGCTTTGAAGTGTTAACCTAGTCAGTTTTATCAATAAAAGATTGGGAATCAATTATCTGGATAAATATCTGAAAGATCAGAGAAGCCCCTGACCATCCACAGTTGCTTCCTACTTCTTTGTCCAAAAGAGCTGAGATTGTCTCTCTGCCCCACCATATCACATTCTATCTCCTCTGTATACAGTCCTCTAGACCTGCATGATTTATGATAATGTAGTAGCTAAGTCTACCTTCTGACTCCAAGCAAGGCTTATTTAGCAAAACACAAACAAAATATCACAAAACAGAGCTTGGCCTAATGTTTGACTGTGTTATCTTCATTTGTTTCTATCAATTACTGGATGAAGTCTCTCTGATGACTACTGAAGTAGGCACCAACCTATGAGTATAGCAGAATATCCTTAGACATCATTACATGGACATTTTTTCCTCTCCAGTCATATTTGTTTGTGTCCTAGGTCTCTGGGCCATCCAATCCGGGCTGTGGATCCTGGTTCTCAGGTAGTATCAGTATGAGTTCACTCCAGAGGCAAGACCAGTCATTGGAGAGTCACACTTACAATCTCTGTTTCACCCTTACCCCAGTACATCCCATAGTCTGGAAATACTGTAGGTCCAAGGTTTTGTGGCTGGGTGGGTATTCAAGTCCCTCCATTGGTAGTCATGCCTGCCCACAGAAGGTCATCAGTTCAGACTATGTATCCCTTTTCACTCAGAATATTGTAGATTCCTGGGAGTTTTCCTTGCTCCAGATTTATACCCGATCCTAACATGATCTCCTTTTCAGTCCACTCTTTCAGTACTCTATCCCACCTCATTCACACCAAATCCCTGGTGTTCTCATCCCCACCAGCCCCCAGTCCACCCAGGAAATCTCTTCTTATTTCCCCTTCCCAGGAAGATCTGGGTATCCTACTTGAACCCTCCTTGTTACCCAGCATCTCTGGGTCTGTGAATTGTAGCTTTGTATACAAGGAAAAGATGAAGCAAACACGGGAATGTTTTAACAAACAGGTGATTCAAATATATAGAAATACTTTACAATATTACAGCAACTCACCTGTAGGTCTGAAGAAAAATTACAAGTTACAAAGTTCTACTTATTAAGCAATTTTTTAAACAAGACTTAGATACACAGAAGCAGAAAATGGAATCACTTTCTAGAAGGGGAAAGAAGCTACAATATGAACAACAAAAGGTTGCCATCAATTGCTCTTTCTGTTGTTAATGATGGAATTATAGCTGGAAATCAGTTTCAAAAACGTGAACATAAAGGGCAGCGTTCTAATGGTTCTGTGTGAGTCACAGAATCAGTGTTGGGTTATAGAACCCAGAGGAGTTCCAGTCATTTTAGCACCTGATAGATGTAACTTCATTATAAATCCTCCTGCATCCTCACGTGCTTACATATCTTTATCCTTTCACCATATTTTTTTTAAAGTTCAGGGATAGATGGGCATTGAATTAATGAACATTTTTCACTAAGTAGGGAATAACCTTCTAACTTTGTTTTGTCATAATTTTCATTTTGAAACATTGTACTCTGTAGTCCCAAAGAGCCTTAAACTCAAGATCCTCCTGTATCAGACGAACTGCTAGGATTACAAGATCACAGCTACACCAGCTGAGGTTGGAAGATACTTGATATTATTACGTTATGTGTCTTTGAAGGGAGTTAAAGTCAGTATCACTAGTAATGTGACCGACAGCTTTGTAGACATACAGATATGGTGCTAAAGAAGCAAATACTAAAGATAGGAAGGAAGTATATACTACTGGAGTGTTACAATCAGTGCAATGGCTTGAATACAGAGCCATTCCAACCATACAGTAGGGATGACCCTAAAGTTTTCCAATCTGATACACCCAAATCACAACCTGGAGGGAAAGCCTGGTCTGATTTAACCAGAGCCAGTATTGTTCAATTAAATGTCTACTGTGGTTTTAAATATGTTAGTTAGTTGCCTTCAATAAATATGAACCTAATTGTTCTAAATTAAGCAGTTTCCAACATCTTGTTTACCACATATAGCCCATTTGTAAGGTCAATGCACTCTAAGAGTATGAAAAAAATAAAGAAGGGAAGACCCACTTTGATAAAATTATTTGAGATCAGTGAGCCATCATTGAAATCATTCTACTCTTAAAACGTTTATTAAGTTGTCTAATAAATGTATCCTTTGTGGAGGCTCTCTCAGGCGGGACTCTTGGGGGAGGGCCTAGGCCCTGCCCTAGATGAAATAACAGTTACTGGAGATCCACCATGGAGTGCCTTACCGTCCTTAGGGATAGGACTGGAGATTGGGTGGGGGACTGGAAGACCTAGTGGGAAGGGAGAGGGAGGGGGGAGGGAACTGGGCATGACATGCGAAACAAGGTTGTTTCTAACCTAAATTTTTAAAAAATGTATCCTTTGCGGATATTCCCTTGGTTCTTCTTTTACTATTAATCTGCCAAAAATATATATAGGACTGAGGAGCGGGTTCCACTGTTAAAAGCTTGCCTTGTAGGTGTGAGGACTGAGGTTTAGAGTCACAGAACCTATACAAATGCTTGGAGGGCATGAGGCATGGTCATCACCAGAACAAGCTGACAGTGAGAGTAGCAATGTCACTGGACTCTGTTTTTTATTTAAATTAAAAACAATAGTATTTTACATACCAGTTCTCTCTCTCTCTCTTATGCTCCCACTCTCCCCAGAATCTCCCCATCCCACGCGCAATCCACTCCTCAGAAAGATTGAGACCTCCCATGGGAGATCTTCAAAGTCTGTCACTCCATTTGGCATACTACCTAGACCCTACCCTCTGTATCTAGGCTGAAAGAGTATCCCTTCAAAGAGAATGGGTAGAACCAATATTTATTCCTACCACATTAATTGACTTGAAGACCATTCTCTATGGAGAGATACTCTCTCAGCCTGCCTCTGTTAGTTAGGTAGAAAACAATGCCTGCATGCATGCACACACATAGACAGACAGATAGACACACAGACACAGAGACACACACACACACAAACACACACACACACACATATTCCCACGTTAGCATGCATACCATAACAAACACAGATGAAAAGCAGCTTTATACAAGTAATCTTATTTTTTTAACTAAAGAAAAAAAAGGAGTGGTTAGCAGTCCAACAACTTACAAACACAAATATACAGACAAGATCCAATCATAATCAAATATAAACTTATTTGGTGAAGCAATGTAAGATGTTCTTTAAAGACAGTTGAAGAGCTGAAGAGATTACTCCATGATGAAGAGCACTGGCTGCTTTCCAGAGGACCTGGGTTTGAGTCTCAGCATCCACTTTGTGCCTCTAAGTTGTCTCTAACTCCAGTTCCAGAGAATCTGATGCTCCCTTCTGGCTGTCATGGGCATCAGGCTTGTACATAGTAGGGAGACATACATTCTGGGAAAATATCCATACACAAAATTGTTTTTAAGATATGGTTGAAAGGCATAAAGATAGATTTTAATACTTAAGGTCGTATTATTTTATAAGTAAAAAAGAAAAAAGAAAGGCATTAAAGACAGAAAATCAATTATGGGATAATATCAATATTTCAGCTTGAAAATTGAATAATTATCATTTTTTGCATTTATATGATTCAAACTTAAGAGATGTCAATTTTCTGAACCTGTGGGTAGCAAACAATGTGTATATGAATTTTAGCTAGATACTGAGGAGTGCATGGATAGATAGTTCTCAACATGTATGGCCTTTGCTTCATATCTCACTCTTGCTCCCAAGAGAGAGAAACAAACTCATGTTATTGTGTTAGCTTAAAGAAGTTAAAAGATGACCAGACGGCTGCTAAAATTCAGTTCTGGGTACCTGGATGATGTTTCCAGAAAGCAACCATTGGAATCACTGCATTGCAAAAGAAAAGAAAACAGAAAAGGCTACCATCTCCAACACTGACAGCCTCACCCAGGTCACTGCCACCCTAGATGAATGGAAAGGGAGAAAAGGTATATTTGCTCCCTTTGTTTGATTTAAATCACATGTCTCCTTCATTCAGACACTGGCACTCTGAAGCTCAGCATTTAGAGTCAGAAGGAGACTTAACACCATCAGCTTCTCTGGTTCTCGGCCCTGAATGGCCCTGAAACTGCACACAGTTTTCTTTCTCTAGCAAAATTTATTAGATATTACTTATTCATAATTTTCAAACAATCAAATTGTGGCTGGAAGATTTTAATAATTAATGGAAGAGGTAATACATCTCTCTGGGGGTGGTTTATGAATCTCTCTCTTTTCATATTTTCATCTGTAAATGGTATTAATTATACGTTCCTATCTCCCATAAGTGCTGTGATAATTACTGTTGGTTAAGCACCTAGGTTTCCATGGATAAGGGAGATGATGTAAGGGCAGTGTATTATCATCATAATTATTATTGCCCTGGGCATCTGCTCATTAATGGCTACATTTGAGTAAAAGCCCATGAAAGCTTTAATTGATATGAGACAGAAATTGGTCAACCTTAGCCACACTAACTGCCAGGTTTTAGTCCAGAGAGAAAAACTCTTCTGTAATTAGATCATCTCCAATATCATCAAAAAGAGCTATACAAGAGTTTTACAGTGTTAGATCAATGCAGAACTCACTCATCCAACAAATCTTTCCTAGGGAGGGGTGGGGGAATATCTGGTATATGGCAATGATCAGAGATATAAGTAGACAGTGATGAATGAACAACAAAATGACCCTTCAGAACTCACATTTGAAAGTTTAAAATATGCACTGAGATATTGTCATTTGTTCTCTTCCCATGCTAATACTTGGTTTTATAGTGTTTTTTAAATCTTGTATTTTGAATGCCACATTTTTGCCACATTTCAGAAATACTTGCATGGCTTTACTCTGTGAAAAGCTACTCCTAAATTTTTACTTTCAAAAAAGATAAATTGCTATCCATTGTATATAATACTTTAAATTTTCTCATCATTTTTCCTAAAAGCAAGAATCATTCCAGTTATTCATGATATCTATCAGAGGACTGCATAAACCACAAACAATCTCCCCTAATCAGATTAAACATCTAATATTGGCTGTTATTGATGCTTTCAGAATCAATAACAGTTTATAAATGACTTTCCAGCATAGTCAACTCATTTAATACTCAGACAAGTAAAAATGAGAGTTTGATTAAAAACAAATAAGAAAAAAATCAAAGTTAGAAAAAATACCCTCTTTACTGGCTCTGTTTCTCCAGTACCCACATACAGCAGGATTTCTAGCTTCTAACAAGGCATTGCCTGACAAAATCACTCCTGGTGTCTTTTGACATCACGTCCTGAATAGGCATGGCCATGTCAATTATCCATCTGTAGTATATCTGGAAACGATATCTTTTTATTCTGGTCTAATTCAATATTGCTAACTTTACCCAAGGTTCAAACTCAGTCTCTATGTTAAGTAATGAGAGTGATAGATAAGAATCCCATTTTTTTCCTTCTCATTCATTCACAGCACTGAAAAAATAATTTTTATAACCCTAAATCTTGAGAATCAGATGAAATTCTCTCATTCAATTTCTATAAACCTTGGATAAATTTGCTATATTATCCCTATTGTTTTAACATTCCCCCTCCTCCTCCAATTTTATATATTGGCAAACACTAACTGCTAGACAAAAATAAATCTGATAAACAGAGTAATAAACGCAGCTCAGCTGTAGGCCCACAAAATGTCTCCTGTAAGAGCAAGCCTAGTGTGTCTAGAGACCTTCTCACAAGCAAATAGTTTTCTTGGTCATCATTCCCACCATCAAAATAGCAAGTACCTAAGACTGAGGCTAAATGGGAAAGAATTATATTGAAAACATAAAATTAAAATAAAACAATAAAAAATGACATTTCTATTTCCTTTGCTTCTTTGTATGCCCAATGGATGGGAAAGTGTAGACAGGCAGTCAGTTGCTTTAGTCCCTACATCCTACTGATATTTCAAGTATTTGAAAATTGAATATAACAAAGAAAACCTTTCATTTTTTTCAGTAGATGGAAACTGTTAAAAAGTCAATTTAAACTGGCTTGCACTTAAAAATAAATTTATTTTATATACAATACTCTAGTATTGTGTATGTTAATAGCAATAATGCATTTTTATTACTCTGACATTCAAAGAAGGAAAACAAGTATACTCGCCAATAAAACTATGGCACTGTGAATTCCACCCATAAACTTTCTGAAAATATCAATAGCAAGAGATAGCAGCAAAATGAGAATGACATATTACTCAAGATACTCATAGTAGCATTCTGTTTAAAGTTAAGTTTGAGCATTTGTTTTGTCTTGAGAACTATCACAGCTAAATAATGATTTCTCCGTTCATCACTTTCACATCCCTTTCTTTACT